CCTGTCTCTGATTAGGACGGTTCGGCGCCCTGACGTGGAAACCACACTGGGACGGGCATGTGCTCAGCAGCCCCTGCTCACCTCCCACCTGCCCCTAAAGTGAGGGGCCAGGGGAAATAAGCTGGTGCAGGTGGGGCACCACAGCACAGGCTGCAGCCAGGTCACCAGCTCACTGCAGGCCAGACGAGCACTGAAATCCTGGGACAGAGGGATAGGAGCTCCAGCTTGTGAGAAATAATTTTGCATAAAACCAGATTCCAATTAAATTTAATATTTATTAAATTAACAAAAGGCAGCAAACAGCACTGGGTGCACCGGGAGTCTCTGCTCAACCAAGACGCACACCCCATACAATCCCTGTCTTCGGCTTTTATTGTCCCGGTTCATACATATTCATTAACAGGTGGGTCCATGTAAATTAATTCCAAAAAAAATAGGTCGTCTTTGCAGTGTGTTCTTTTCACCTTTTGGGGTCGTCTTCGCTCCCACCTGGTGGTTGTGGAATGCAGTCAACAATCCCCCTTGGCGCCTGGTTTTAATTACTTCAGACTCCACGCATGCGCTCCACAAACTCCCCTTCAACATTAAGTGGCCGTTAACAGATTCAATGCGAGCTAGCCAAAACAGCACACCAAATAGCAACAAACATGGAAACAAAATTAATCACCTTGCTTTTTCTCCAGGCTCGTAGCTATACAAAAACAACAAGACCACCCCTCACCATGGCGCCCCAATATGATTTTATTTTGACACGAATCAAGTGAACATATTTCACAAGCTGCTCCACAGGGTGCTGACACTGGCCCCTTGCAGCAGGTGAGATGCAGGAGGGATTCCTGGGGCACATAATGCTGGGAGGTGGCTGCACAGAGTTGCATTCAGCAGCTTGGCCCAATCAGTCTCATCTTATCTGACCTAGCACTGGTAAACAAGAGATGCTGGAGCCCTTTGGGAGCACAGATTCAGGCCTGTTGAAGTGCTCATACAATCATGAATTTCCAGCAGGATTTGGAAAGCATTTCTTCTTTCTGGGGCTCTGGCTGTCCCACTGGCTGCCCAGCACCTAGAACAGGGCACCTTACAGCAGGCCAGGGTGCCTAGCGCAGCTCTGCAAGCGCTGGGGAGTGAATCATGCCTGTGCAGTGCCAGGCTGCTTCAAAGCAAGCCCTGCGGTTATTTTTCCTTTCATTTCCCTCTTACACAAGATCTCCCTGAAGTGCCAGGGAAGCAGTGCTGGTGGTGGTGGAAATGAACTTTGGTAGGGAGGACGTGCAGCAACAAAACACAGCAGGCTGGCAGCATTCAGCACAACTTCTGTGAACCCAGATGAGTAAGCCCATCAGTTTAGGGCAGCTCAGTGCACTGACCCTGCACCGAGCCATGGCTGGAGGGGAGCAAAGGGTGCAACTGAGGCTGTTTAATAAGACATTCAGATTACCAAAGTGTGCCACTGATGGGTGGATCCAGTATTTGCTCAAAGCTGACTAAAAGCCATTATCTCCCTGTGGAATTTTTGTGGCTTCCCCAAACACCTGGAGTGGTCCCATCACTTGCAAGATGGGGCTTCAGTTTTGGTGAAATGGTGGCTAGGGAAAACAAACATTTTAGAGCAAGTAGGGATCTTGGCCCAACAAGCTGTCTGAGCAAAGAAGGGGAATGGAGTATTATCTCCCACAGAAGGGAGAGCATGGCATAGTCTGGCATGAAGTGTGACCAGTATTTATTGCCAGGTGTCCTAGAAGCAACAGGAACCCTCTGTGATGAGCTCCCACGTCCAATAGCTTTTGATTTATACATAGCCCTGAGACTGAAATACCTTTTGGGACCACAAGTACAAGGGTTATTTGCTCAACCTTGGCCAAGGCCAGGGTAAAGAGATCTCTTGGGTGTTCCCCATGCTTACTGTGGAGATAAAGTGAGTGATTTGGGCTGACAGAGAGCATACACTGGCACTGCTCGAGAACAGCACAGTCTCCTGAGGAAAAAAAACTGAGCTCAACCTCAGCTTTTGTCTACCTCAAGCAACAGCTATGGTGTAAATCTGCATTCCAGCTACACCTGGGGCAGCACAAGGCAGGAGGCATACCTCTCAGCCTCTCACCAAAATGCCTGGCAGCCGTCTTCACTGCCTCTAAAACCCGGATCCCTGGGGAGAAACAAGAATGGGGAAAAGATGGGCAAAACTGTGCCATCCCAGTTCATCAGCTTCCAAACTTGACCCTCACATGGCTTTTCACCTTGGCCCAAACTCATGCAGCTCTTGTTCTCAAATGACAGCCACAGGACTCACTCATGTCCCTTTGTTCACATTTCAGCCACTTACCTGCAAGTAAACAGCATCTCCTGCAAATTATTCTCTGCTCCCATAGGAGGAAGAACATCCTCAGACCTGCCTTTACCACGTCTTGGCCCCTTCCTCCCCAAGACAAGGATGGCCACCTACCACCAATGAGTCCAGCACCTGGAGACACCACAAGGTGTCTACCTGCAGAACAGTGATTCCACTCACAGCCAGTGCAGAGAGATGGAGGATTCACTCTCTTCCTTTTGTGTGGGAATTGGCAGATTTTAAAAGGAGAGGTGAAATGGACTTCCCACCATGCATTCTGCTGTCTCAGAGCTCCTGTCTTCTGCCTCTCAAGGCTGGAGCAAAGGAAAGTCCCAAAAAGCTTCTGAAGTCTTGCCAAAGAAACTGTCCATTGAAGCCAATCATTACACACTGCCACCAATATTTCTTGGTCCAACGAAGGGACTGGTGAGTTTTCAGAGCTACTGCTGTAAATATCCTGTATAGAACACTTCATTTAAAAAAAAGTGGGGGAAAAAAAAAAACACACACACAAAATGGAGCCTTAGGTTTAGAAGTGCTCTGCCTACAGACTGTACATGGCTGAAAACACAAGTAATGCATGCTCTCAACCATAGTGCAGTTTCTCAGAGAAGACTTAGCAGTTTCCTCCCTCTCTTCCATACTTGTAACACATTTTAGTTTAGGCAGCCACTCAAGAAAAGAGGTTGCTTGGTTTCCTTCAAGATTCTAAGTAAATGCAGAAAAATTGGGTGCTGCAGGCTGTATGATGGTGTATTTCAAGAGACACACCCCAGCTTTCTCTAGAGGAAGCCTTCTGCTGCCTGTGGAACCTGGGAGAACACACTGTGGTTACAACTAGGTTTGAATAAAAAACGAGCACAAATTCATCTTTGCTCAGCAGCGCAGAGCCCTTCAGGCACAAGCCATGTGCTAGTTTGGTGGCAGACATCATCCATAAGGACGAGTCTAGCTGAGGATGTGGATGCAAACCCTGATTCTGCTTTCACCCAGGATTGTAAGCTAATGGTTTCATAGCCTCAATCACACCAAGGCAGTCTTCCAACATATTCTCACAATTCCCTGGTTTACCTGGTAGAACAGACAAGTTCTTTAATAATTTCACAGCAAAGAAACAGCTCACCTCACTGCAGGACAGCACTGCAGGATATACACTCGGCAGTTCCAGTAATTAAAAGGTAACATGACTAATGATGATGGACAACTTGCTCGGCTTTTGCAGCTGGTCACATTCAACCTAGGCTGACTTGGTGAATCAGCACCAGGCTACTACTATAGCAACGACCTTCCATAAACCAAAACATCCACGTTGCTGGAAAACAGCAGGAAAAGCCCAGAAAGGAAACAAGAGTCCAGACATGGTAAATCAAAGCAGATTCTTTATTTATGAAGCTGAAGGTGATGACCACTTGTAGTGCAATAGCAAGCCCAAGTTTCTTGGATCACTATTTTGAAATGAACTGTCAAGTCCAGTCTCTTAGAACAATTGTGCTTTGCTATCATGTGCCTGTTCTACAGTTCCTAAACCACGTAATGCACACTTCTGAAGGACTTCTTTGGAGTTCTACAGATAGTTACTTAATTTTGTAATTTCTGTTGTACAAAGAAGTCCCTCAAAGCATCTTTATATATTTCAGTGTTTCCAGTTGCTGGATTTTGAGTGTCACATTAATGTAACTCATTAATCCCACCCCCAATTAATTAATGATTAATCCTCATTAATCTCCTCACAAATAAGCAAAGTGCAGCATTCTTAAATTGCAACAATGACTCCAAGCACAGGGCCATCACAGAAGCAATTTTTGCTAATAGAAAAATGTGATTAAAAAGAATATTGCCAAGTATGGTTACTGAAATTCAAAAATAAACTTCTACATACAAAAATATCCTGGCACTTTCTGAAGGCACAACAGGAACTACCTCATGTGTTCAACCAACAGCCTCTGGTACCAACCAAGGCAGAAGGGTCCCCATTCCCCAGGCGGCTTGATAGAAGGAAAAACAGCCTCTCCAGGAGCCTAGGGCTGAGTGCCACCACAGCAAACCTGCCCGTAATCCTTCTCCCACCCAGCTGAGCAGTGTGAGCTGCTGTGTGAGCCACTCGGCGCACAGGCCCAGGCAGCAGATGAGCCATGTCAAGCAACGATGCATGGTATGACGTGTCAGTCACTGCTGCAAGGTGGAAAACCAATAAGGTCTATTCTCTGTGAGAAAGAACTGCCATCAGTTGTGGTTTTTTCTGTATTTACATTTCTTCCAGCTAAGAACAGGAAAGATCAAAGATACAGAGCACAAGCAGGTATGAGAATCGGTGTGAAGGGTACAATCCAGACACACTGAGCATCAGCAGCGTGCAGTGGAGCGTGTGGGTGCAGACAGCTCTCCTCACCCCAGCGACACCGCTGGCCAGGACTCAGGCTACAAGCTGCATCTTCTTTCCTTCCGGCAGTTTCACAGGGGGCCATCCCTGCCACTTATAATATGACACCAGCTGCTTAGGCACTTCAGCCAGAACCATCTGGGAAAGTGCTTCCCTGGGAGCCTGCAAGGAAAACGGAGAATAAATCAGAAATACTACTAGAGTAAGGCTTTGCCAGCCCGGTGACAAGCTCTTTTACAGAACACAGAGCACAGCCTCCCACCTGTCACATCTCATTCCCTGTTCCAAGAGTTCCTTGCCACAGTTTAGGAGCACTTCCAGTCAGGCTCAGTGAGTGCTGTTGATGAAAATCACCTTTGTCCTCCCCTGCGCTGCTCTCGCTCTTACAGCCCCACCTCAAGCCCACACTCATACAGCTTTTATATGGCCCTGATCTGGGTGGGAAACTGCCCCAGCCACTACCAACTTCTTATTTTGGGTTTTCATTCGACTCAACTGCACTCTTCAGCCCAGCTCACTGTGCAACATGCATGAATGCTAGTGCCAACAGTGGAAGTAGGGAGGAGCTGGGGAATGGCAGGACTGCTTTCACCAGCAGGGAAGACACATCTCTTCTTAAATCACTCATGGGACTCAACATCAGAGACTGACAATGTGATCTCAGTTCCTCGCCTAAACGTTTGCGTCCCAGGAGAGAAAACTTCTCCTTTACCCCTTTAACTCTGCAATAGCCAAGAGATAGCATACCAAGACAAGGATGCAGTGAGAGCTCTTCAAGAAAAGCTGTAAGAGAGCTGTGACAAGGCACACTCTCTTTCAAACACAGAAGCAAACATATCAGCTCCTGGTGGGAGCAAACAGCTTGGTCAGAACTCTGAGCAGGCAGCTTGCTGCCTTGCCTGGACCCATGCTCATTTTTCAGATATAGTAACTGCATATATACTGGCATTAGGACTCTTCTGAACTTAAGAAACAACTTACATTCTTGAACAGTCGGAAAGGAACAAACTGGACAATATCTCGTGCAGCTGGCTCTCCTGTCAGGGACTTCAGGACACCATTGTCTCCATCAAGGAACTCCATTGCTTTGAAATCAGCTTCACCAACTCCAACAATAATGATGGACATTGGCAGCTTGGAGGCATTAACAATTGCTTGCCTAGTTTGGTCCAGATCAGTGATCTCTCCATCTGTGATGATGAGCAAGATAAAATATTGCTGAAAAACATCAGGAAGCATCCAGTTAGGAAGTTCAACACCAAAGCTCACATAACTGAAGGCAAATGGAGCAATTTCTTTCTCTAAGGAAGAAATCAAATCATGCTGTAGAAAAGACAAAACCAGAATACCAAAGAAACTTATTCCCATTTTTTTCATATGCATAACACTTTTCATTGTGCAATTCAGATTTCCTCTGTACTAGAAAAAAGACAGAGGCTTAAATTCAGTTTATAAAGAATAATTATATCAATTGGCAGAAAGTACTAGAGATCAGGAAAGTAGTACTAAACCAACAAAGCCGCATACAAAATTGACTGATGAATGCTGCTTTACTCACTGACATCTCAACAAGGCTAAAGTTTAATATTTAATATCCCTGGAGTGTAACTCAAGAAGCCGCCTTTTTTAGCTACCAACAAATAGTAAGTATTGGAAATCTCAGAACACAGCAGTGACAAACGTCATGACACAAAGACACTCTGTAGATGACAGAGGGGAAGAATACAGGAGCTTTCCAGCAAAGAAAAGAAAAATCCCCCAAACCAACACATTAGTGTGGTCAAGTGTTTAATATTCCCTTCCTTTTCCAGAGGCTAAGATGTAGTACCTGGTTCTGAAATGAGCAACCACTGTTTTACAGCAGCTATCTACAGGCTTAAAATGAAAATAAAAATTGAGAGAGACACAATGAAAATAAAATGAAAATTGAAAAAAAAAAAACAAAACTGAATTTCCAGTTCCAAAACCCCATTAACACTAGCGTTACGATGGTTGTACACCATTACTGAGATATGCTTTATTTAAACAGGTTTTCACCTGTAAGAAGTAGAGATATTTAACATATGAAGAGAAATAAAAAGAATCCCCCAAGCGTAGGGAAGGCTAAAAAATACCCTGAGAAAGGTAAGAAATGGATCTCCCTAGACCAAACACCTCAGTGTGGGAAAGGTATTTAACGTGGACAGAAACAAAAGCAGACCCAAAGGTTTCTGGCACAGTTAGACCATGAAGTGAATATAAGAGTACAGATCGAAATGCCTTCTGATTAGTCTGTCAAAATGGAATCAGTTAAATCTAGCAGGAAATAGGAGTCCTTCATCCTTAAGCAAAAGGAATCAAGTTTAAAGGAACTGGGTACCAATAGTCCCTCTGTAAGCTGGTAAGAGAGGACCAAACTTGGGATCTGAAGGAAGACAACATCACTACCATTCCATTCTATCCCATCAAGAACAAGGAAATCAGAAACATCAACCACACACAGATCCACAGGAAAGGACAGGCACTCACTGAAGCAGTTCCTTGTTGTGCTGAGTGTGCTGCAAACCTTGCCACATGGTTTATAATAGGAGAGAAATTGGTTGGCCCATAGAGCTGGATCTGAGGCAGGATCTGGCGGTAGGCATCCACTATCCCCTGAATCCCTGCAGGACAAGGAAGGCAAGCTGCCACAAGGGCCTCACAACTTCTCCAGTAGTTATGTTATAAGCATTACTAAACAGCACAGCAAAAGGATACTAACTCTCACAGAGCTGTGAACTCCTGAAGGGCAAATAAGCAGCAGGATAACAGCAAATATACAAAGCACAGGGCTGAAACCAGTGGACATCTGCAGAGATGGGATTTGCAGATTTCTCCCCCATCCTACATCCTTCACATCACTCTTTGTGCCTATAATATCACAAAGCTCATGGAAGTTGTGGGAAAAATAATCTAGTGAAGGCATGACGATGACTACGTTTACCTTGTCCTTTCTACTTTGTCATCCAATTTGTCTTGTTTCATTGCTTACAGTCTAATTAGAGACCAAGATCAGAAGCTCTCTGGAACAGTTACATTTTTATTTTCCTTGTATGAAAGCTAAGACATTGATCCCTCACATTCAGGATTCAAACATTTTTGTAACAAAACCAGTAATCCTTAAGATTCTTCCTATGCACGAAGCTTTTCTCAGGTTAACTAAACAAAATTCTTTAAAGTCTGATTATAAATGCTGCATATTCTTCTGTGGATCCATCTACATTGGCCTGTTCCTGGCTTGTATCAGTGTAGCTTCATTTGCCACTGCTGCTTGCACTGTCCACCATGCAGGTTTTAGTGTGGTACCTCTCAGAACTACTGGTGCAGTGACCCTTAAAGACATAAGACACAGAGCCAATGAGGCAGACAATGCTGAAGTGACCCAGGAAGTGCTTGGGGTTTAACACTGACTTCGGATTCCATATTTTGTTTGCCTTCGATCGGAGACAAAAACCTGAACTGAGTAAAAAATACTTGTTCAAAAACAATTCTGTGTCACTGCATGCTGAGAGTGTTCTTAGTCTTAGAAGGTCATAATCCAAAAGAGAGAGCAGACATTAAAACCAGCTCAACCAACCTCCACTAAGGGATATGGCTATAAAGAAAAAAAGCTTTTAAGAAAACCCTTTAAAAGGTAACATTCAAACATATACACATTGCTGATGAAGTAACCATGGTCTCTAACAGCCTTAGCAGATGCTTTGGTAGCATGACTAGCACAGGCACATTGCTGATCTGAACCCACTGTCACCTATAACATACCAGACAGTCACTCAACTTACAGCAATGAAAATTTCAGCACAGACTAACAGTCAAATTAAATCTAGACCCCTTCACTGGAGCTTCTGTAGTCCTCACAGATGCCTGCATCAACACACATCCACACTTGTGGGTATCCAGGTGAGAGGTTTGCTGCATGTCTTGGTGCTGTGTCTGGTTTTCACCAATTATGAAAGAAAACGACACTTCAAGCATCTGTTTCTCTCTATGAAATATTAATAAAGAGGTGTTCTCACCTTGACAGTAAGGGTTGCTGGGGTTGAAGTTCAAAGCAAACTCGTGAGACACCTAGGAAAGGGGACACTACAAACAGTTAGGGAATGCAGACATGGACAGAGCAACTTGTCTATCGTTGTGAAGGCCCTACCTGCCAGGTAGGGGGAACCTGAGCTCCAAACCCAAATGCAGGAAACAGCTTGTCCCTGGAGCAACAAATAAGAAATAAAAAATAATTATTTAATATTAAAACTTGCTGGTTTCTTCCCAAAAAGCAGCTAGACACCCAGGTTAGGTTCATGCCATAAGGAACACCATCTAGCTCCCCACAGCCAGTCAACAGATACCCAAGGGTTTCAGGCTTGAGCTTGACAGTTTCAGAATTTCTTTCAGTGCAGCACCCCACAGGGCTCTCAGATTTCAAAGTAGCAAGAGAAAAGGCAACCCAGCCACAGCCTGGCTAAAAGACAGAGCAAACAAACACGTTCTATTGAATCAAACATGGCCTTCATGTCAGAAATGCACCATCAGCTACAAGAGATTAGTGACCAGGTAAAGCAGCATTACAGAGTACCCTAGGGCCATAAATGGGCAGACCTGGAGGTACAAGCCATGCAAATTACAAAGGGCTGTCACTATGCTTCCTGGCAGTGATGGAAGCAGGAGGAAGCAGTAGCTGCTCCTGAAGGGATCTCCCAAGGAAGGGTAGCACCTCAGTCATTCAAACACTACAGCTCTAGAACAAGCTGTCAGCCTTGATCACTGACAGCTGCTATGACACTCTTTTGGTGTGGTGGCTAGATCAGTTCAGATCATTACATACGTGTCATAATCCTGGACTACACTTCCCACACTCCAGATGGCAGTGAGGTACTCATTTACCCCGTCTGGGCTGATGTAGTGAAGAGAATCTGGTGACCTGGGATCTCCGTTGGAGCCAGTGAAGTCTATCCCCACCTAATCAGGCAAGATGATGACAGCAAGTCATTGATAAATCACCATAAGCAAATGAGAAGAACTAATCATACACTGAAACAAAAGGTGAGACCAGGCTTGCATAGCTTCCTTCCTCCCAGGCACAAAAGCAGCCCTGCACAGGAACAGCAACCTGCCTGCCTAGCTTTTCCCACTGGGGTACACGCATATTTAAGAAGTAGCAATCTTTTCCACTGATAAATCAAACCAATTTCTCACAAAGATTTTAAGAAAACCTAGTTCCATTAAAGTTGCTACTTGGATCACAAAAAAAGAAAAATATAAGTTGTTTTTTTTGCAGTCTTAATCACTGCAAATTCACAATGCATTTGCAGTAATTCACACTGCAAACAGAAGTTTTAATCACAACTTCATTGTTCTTGCCCCTTCAACTACCAAGATGTGCAGCAGGGAAAAAACTCACTGTAAAGTTAATCTGGCAGCCTCCCATGACATAGTCCAGAAATGAATATTCTGTCTCGATCTGGAGGAACAGACAGACAGCATTAGAACTCCTCTCCACAAGAATAGATTTAATCAGAAAATAAAAAAGACAAACAAAAAAAACCAACAAAAATATTCCTACCTTACAGGATTTTATCCTAATAATGCCAGAGTTTTTGTAGCTATTTTTCTTCTGCTTTTTCTCAGGATGAACACATTCAAACTCCACCTACAGAAAGCAAGCATGCAAGAAGCAAGTTCCTAAATATCTGCATTTACAGCAGGACAAATTATTGAAACAGAACTGTGTCAGACATCACACAATTCCAGTTTCCCAAATACCTGGCAGAATTCTGAACCTTAAGACAGACATCTTAAAAAAGGTTTGCAACTACTTTGGGGGCTATGTGACAAGTTAAATAGAATGCCTTTGCTACCAGCACTAGGAAAATCAGGAGAAAAGACCTCAGAAAAGCATCCTCAACAATGTAACTGCTGCTCTGTGTGCAACCATGGACAAGTGTCATTGTATCAGAAGGAAAAAAAGCTGATCACAAATACAACCACCTCTCTTAACATAATCAAGTTCCTTCTTGTTTAAGGGAAGGGAATGCACTCAAACACAAGACAAGGAGGCAAAATCTGGGGGTTGGGAAGGCCAAAAAAGCCTAGGCTGCAGGTTGTCAGTGGCAGTGTCTCACTGTTTTGCTTCACCTGTGTTAGTTCAGATTTCACATGAGCTAGGGCAAAAGTCAGGAATCTCCCACCAGCTTTAGGATTACAACCACAGAAATCAGGCTGACTGGCAACTAGAAGTGGTCCTAGGCTACGTCCTCCATGCAGATTCACCTGTCTGAATTCAGGCCAGACATCTCCACAAGAATGAGAAGTTTTCAGCGCAAACAACAGAGAGAAACCAGCACCACCAGCAAGTGATTCAACATCCTCTGAACTGGGCATACCCCTTTGAAGCACTGTTTCTCTCTGTTAGCTAGACAGGCAACCAGAGGGCTCATGAGGGTCAAGCAAAGTCAACCAGCTGAAGCAAAAATGTTACCTGAGACCAGCCCCACCTCTGGACTCATCTGTTAAAGCATGAACAAAAGCCAGCAGAACTGCTGGGAGAAGTGGCTAGTGGACAGCAGGCAATGGGCTCAAGGATGTTTTGGGGAACAGGAAGGATAACAGCACTTAAGGAAAAGAGCAATACAATTCCCACACCAGGTTTTACTCTTCTCAAACGCTGGCTTAGTACTACAAAGACACAGACAGAAAAATTCCCTTTTGGAGGCAACAACTGAAAATCTCTTGCTGAGGTTCATATTAAAAAGGGTTTGTGAAAGACTGAAGGATGGACTAAGTCAGCAGAGGACTGAGAAAGCTCACCGGACAGCCGTCACCTGCTTTCTGCAGCTGAGCCAAGTTGGTTTCAAAAGTGCCTATCAAGTCATGCGACCCATCGCTGTCGTGATCTGCACACTGCACCTGTGAGGGGCGAGAGCCATCCCTGGGCAGCTGCCCTGTGCTGGGGAGCAGGGCAGCCCCCCGAGCTCGCAGCCACGCCAGCGAGCTCCCCATCGCCCCCAAACCGCTCGTGCCATCCGCACCGCAAACTGGAACCTGACAGTGAGAGACACCCAGAGTGAGCCCCAGACAACTGAGGATGTTCAAGGGCTCACCCATTTAAGTACGCACAGTAGAATTTTTAATTAAAAGCTTTCTCCAGTTTAAACACAAAAAAATTGTGGAAAAAAAACCCCAAACAACCAAACAAAGAAAAAAACAAACACACACAACAAAACAAAGCCACAACCTCCCCCCCGAACCCCCAACATTTCACAGCCCTGACATGTAAGTGTGATATCATTCAGGACAAGATATGCAATGAGGGTAATGGGAAGAAGAAATTAAAAGTTTGTTATCTAAGCAATTTCTGAATATAGTCTTTTCTTCTGCCCAACAACAACATCAATTTACAAAGAAATTGCTATTTCCACAGAGCACTAAGTCTGTCTTTTTCTGCATCTTACGCCAATCAAATTATAAATACTTAATGAATAACCAGTCATGTTTAAATCAGCATGAAAGCTTCATAACTACATACTGCAAAAGAGCAATGCACTTGAAATTAAAAATACGCTAAGTACAGCTTAGAGCAAATACAGTAAGGTGTACATTGTCAATAGCTCCCCATAAAATCATCAATGAGCATTTATAACATGCACAACACAAATCATTCCAAAAGCAGCCAAGCAAGAGCAGTTTGTGAACAGTTCCCTCCTCCCTGTTGCAGTTCACGTGCCGCACACAGATTAAAGAACTCATTCTTTCCAACATCTGTCTTTAGTCATCAAGAAACATGTTACTGCAGTATAAACCACAACAACAGCTTTCTCCTCAGGACTAAGGGACAAGAACTCATGGGTAACACCTTGATAAAGATGTCAAATTCAAAGGCAGGATATCTGAATTTGAGATGAGGTTCTTTTAGAACTATTTTGATCCATTAGGGATCTTCCACTACTGTAAGTGGGAAACCTGTACAACAAACTGGATGAATTATGACCAAGTCTAGCTACCTAAATGGGAAGCACCACATTATTATTTAGTCTCTTAAAGGGAAAAGATCATCCTAGAGACAATGTCCCCCCTTTATCCTTCCCAACCCACCACCTTTCCACTCCTCCCTTCTGCATGCTCCACCATTAAGTAACTCCCATCTTCCTGCCTGAGCTTCACTCCATCTCTCTCAATACTTCTGATTTTTAAACATCACCCAAAACCAAATGGGTTATGCCAGGGAGGCCCATGAGCTTTAGTCCCAGTATCAACACCAACAAATTTCACATTTGCTATTTACGTTTAAATAACTGCAGAGGAGAGATGCTACTTTCCTTTGTCCCATTTTAAACAAAACTGTCAAAAAGATTAGGCAGTGTCAAAAACCTGAGCTATTCTCAACACAGAGCAAGAAGAACATCACTCTGCATCACAATGAAGAAAGAATTACCAAAATACTAGATAGCATCGTTAATTTGATCAAAAGGTTTAAGTTCATTCATGTATTCAGCATATAGCTCGCCAAGCTCGTGTTAATGTGCAACTGCAGCACAGAAAGGCAACTTTCTGGCTGACTAGGCAGAAAATATCCTGGGCTGCATCGAAAGAAGTGTGGCCAGCACATCAAGGGATGTGATTCTCCATCTCTTGTGAGACCACACCTGCAGTGCTGTGCCCAGCTCTGGAGCCCCCAACAAAAGGAGGACATGACCAGTTGGAACAGGTCCATAGGAGGCCGCAAAGATGATCAGAGGGCTGGAACACCTGTTCTACAAGGACAGGCTGAGCAAGTTGAGGTTGTTCAGCCTGGAGAAGGCTTCAGGGAGACCTCATTGTGGCCTTCCAGTAGAGGCCCCAGAAGAGGGCCTACAAGAAAGGTGGGGAGGGACTCTGTACCAGGGCTTGTAGTGATAGGACGAGGGATAATGGGTTCAAACTGGAAGAGGGTAGACTTATATTAGAAATTAGGAAGTTTTTCACTAGAAGGGTGGCTAGACACTAGAACAGGTTGCCCAGGGAGGCTGCAGATGCCCAAACACTGGATGTGTTCAAGATCAGGCTGGATGGAGCTTTGAGCAACCTCGTCTAGTGTGAGGTGTCCCTGCCCATGGCAGAGGGGTTGGAACGAGATGATCTTTAAGGTCCCGTTCAAACCACTCTATGATTCTATGTTAAGGAGACACATCAAAATGACTGTTTCCACTGTGCTGAAGTACAAGGAGTTCTTCCTTCATTGACTACCATTACTTCACCTGTAATTGTTTCTATGTGAATTTTTCAAACCCTCAAACAAGAGGTTCAGAGCAGCAAATACTAGATGAAGAATGAAACACCAGTGCAAAACTATATTCTGTAGTGCTGATAGTGAAACTCCTGCCTGACAGCCTAGACTCCCCTCCTTTTCTGACCGACTTCCCTAACCACAGCTGTGCCACACTGAGGGGTGGTGTGCCAGAAGGTCCTTCAGTCTGTCGTCTCATTGGAGGCAGGGGATGGAGATCTATGCAGCGGCAAAGCCACAAGGGTTATAAAACACAGAAGCACCAGAGAACAGTCACTTAGGAATTACAGCTTCTCCCCAAAAGGTGGTGGGATCTGTAGCCCAACTGAAGTGCAGCTACACCAGTGCTTACAGCATGGGCAACAAACAGGAGGAACTGGAAGGCATCATGCAGCAGGAAACCTTATGACATAGCTGCCATCACAGAAACATAGTGGGATGATTTGCACAACTGGACTGCTGCAATGCATGACTATAAATTCTTTAGAATGGCTAGGCCAGGAAGGAGAGGTGGTGGGGTAGCCCTGTATGTTAGGGAGTGTTTTGATTGTCCAGAGCTTAATTATGGTGATGATAGGCATTTATGGATAAGAATCAGAGGGTAGGCCAACAAGGCAGACATCATGGGATTCTGCTATAACTCACACAGCCAGGATGCAGAGGCAGACAAAAGAGTGTATAAACACCTGGGAAAAGTCTCACAATTGCTAGCCCTTGTTCTCACAGGGGACTTCAACTTACAAGATGTCTGCTGGAAATACAATACAGCAGGGAGAAAAAAGTCCAGAAGGTTCCTGGAGTGTGTGGAAGAGACCTTCCTGACACAGCTGATGTGATGAGGAACCCAACTAGGAAGGCCTAGATTTAGACAACAGGCCTGTTGTATGTGAGCAGAGAAGGACTTGTGGGTGATGTGAAGGTTGGAGGCCATCTTGGCCATAGAAGTAATTAAATCAGGTTTTGGCTCTTGGAAAAGTAAGGAGGGGGTCAGCAGAACTGCCACCTTAGACTTACAGAGCAATCTTGGAAGACAGACCTGGGCCTGTTTAAGAGACTGGTTGACAGTCTCTTGGAAAGCAGCCCTGAAGGACAAAGGAGTTCAAGAAGGCTAGACATTCTTCAGCAATGAAATCTTTAAGGTGCAGGAGCAGGCAAGAGATGAGTCGTTGGGGAAGACTAGCCTGGCTGAACAGAGAGCTTTTGCTGGAACTCAGGAAAAAAGAAGTTTGACCTTTGGAAGAAGGGGCAGACAGCTCAGGACATCTACAAGGATGTCAAGAGGTTTTCCAGAGAAAAACCAAGAAGGGTCAGAGCCCATCTACAACTTAATCTGGCTACTGCCATAGAAGACAACAGAAAACATTCCTATAAACAATTAAGAGAAGGAGGGCTAAGGAGAATGTCCATCCTTTATTGGATGTGGTGGGGAAATGAGAGTGGCTAAGGATGAGGAAAAGGCAAAGGTACTTAATGCCACCTTTGCCTCAGTCTTTGATAGTAACAGTCACTGTTCTCAGAATGCCCAGCCCCCTGAGCTGGAAGACAGCCACAGGGAGCAGAACAAAGCCCCCAGAATCCGAGGGGTTAGTGACCTGCTGCACCACTTAAGACACACGCAAGTGTATGGGGCTGATGGAATCTACCCAAGGACACAGAGAGCTAGCAGAAGTGCTCAACAAGCCACTTTACATCATTTACCAGCAGTCCTGGCTAATTAGGGAGGTTCCAGTCGACTGGAAGTTAGCACATGTTACATGCATATATAAGAAGGGCTGGAAAGGGGAACTGGGGAACTACAGGCCTGTCAGTCTGACCTCAGCTCCACAGAAGGGTATGGAGGTGATGATTTTGAGTGCCATCACACAGTACATACAGGACAATGAGGTGATCAGGCCCCGTCAACATGGGTTTATGAAAGGTGGGTCCTTCTTGACTAACTTGATTTCCTCTGAAAAGGTGGCCCACTTTGTGGATAAAGGAAAACGCTGTGGGTGTTGTCTGCCTAGACTTCAATACAGCCTTTGATAACTTTTCCCACAGCATCCTCCTGGAGAAACCGGCTGCTCCTGGCTTGGACAGGGTTACTCTTCACTGGGTCAAAAACTGGCTGGCATGGCCAGGCCTGGAGAGTAGTGGTGAATGGAGTTCAAACCAGTTGGCAGACAGTCACAAGTGATGTTCCCCAGGGCACAGTATTGGGGCCAGTTGTGCCCAGGTGGCCAAGAAGGCCACCAGCATCCTGGCTTGTATCAGAAACAGTGCGGCAAGCAGGACCATGGGAGCAATTGTGCCCCTGTACTTGGCACTGGTTGAGGCTGCACCTTGAATACTGGGTTCAGTTTTGCACACCTCACTACAAGTAGGACACCGAGGTGCTGGAGCACATCCAGAGAAGGGCACGAATGCTCGTGAAGGGTCTGGAGCACAAGTCTTATGAGAAGCAGCTGATGGAACTGGGTTTGTTTAGTCTGGAGAAAAGGAGGCTCAGGGGAGCCCTTATCGCTCTCAACAGTTCCCTGAAAGGGGGTTGGAGTGAGGTAGGAGTCGGTCTCTTCTCCCAAGTAACATGTGATAGAACAGGAGGAAACAGCCTCAAGCTGTGCCAGGTGGGGTTTAGACTGGATGGTCAGAAGAATTTCTTCACTGAAGGAGTTGTCAAGCACTGGCCCAGGCTGCCCAGGGCAGTGGTGGAGTCACCATCCCTGGAGGTATTTAAAAGCCATGTAGATGTGTCGCTGAGGGACGTAGTTTAGTGGTAACCTCGCAGTGCTAGGTTAACAATTGGACATCGTGATCTTAAAGGCCTCTTCCAACCAAGATGATTCTATGATTCTACAATACCATGCTTATCATAGTAGTATGGGGCAGGGCAGAACACAGGAAGCCCCCCACATTCCCTCCTGGGAGAGCCCAGAGTCATTAGGAACCAACAGCCAGAACAGACCATGGCACTGCCACCATGATAGCTGTCACCATGTGGCTCCTGGACACTCCCACTGCCCTGGCTCCTTCAGACTTCTGTGCTCCCTGAAACCTTCTACCCCTGATGTACGTACCACCCCGACCCCTGCAGCCCAGGGACACTCTTTGGGAAGGAGTAGAGGTGACCAACGGCCATCACTCCTGCTTTTCTTTGAGATGCAGCCACCCTGTGCCAACTGCCAAGGCAGGAGCAGCCCTTCTCCAGAGCTTGGGCACTCCCAGCAGGGGTGGCAGCCCCAGCTCCCCCAGGTGCTATGGCACTCTGCCTGCTCTGGCACCCCAGCACCTTGGGCACCTTCAGCATCCCCAACCCCTCCCACTGCCAGCATCCCCATCACACAGGGCTTCAACAAGCCTAGGCGAGCGTCCAGCAAATTTAATTTCCAGAGAACTGCCCAAATACTTAGGGCCATCTCTCCCAGTTCACCTCCCAGAAGTGCGTCTCCTCTGGTGCTGGGTTTGGCAAATGAGATGGTGTGAACTCTTCGCCGTCTCCTTTCCACATTCGCTGCTTGCTTTTGGACCAAGAGGACTTCCTTTAGACCTAGGACTGTGGATTCCCCAACCATAAAAGCTCACAAACACCACTTAGAGCACTGCCACATATCAACGAGCCCAGCACATCTGAACATCTATCTCCAGGTTAACAATGTCAGTCATTCTTTGGACCTGCCATGCTGCAGAAATAAAAGCATCAGTATGCATGCTTTTTGCTAAACCTTTCAGCTCAAACTTACAGCATGAGCTTTCTTCACAGAGAGGATGAGGCAAGAAAATTCTGCAAATGGAAATTGTTTCGTACTTGGGTAAGCAGTGAGAGACTATACTTGCATAGAACTATCTATGGATATAAATGCCCTTACGTTATCAATCCACTGCTTAGACCAGAAATTCACAAATTCATTTGCTACCAGATTTTCTTTTGTAAAAATTTATTAAAAAATGTAATTGTTCTGCTACAACCTCCATAAGCCAGGACCAGCAAGAATTAGTCATCATATACAAGACCATAAGGAATTGCAGTTCTAATTCAACCCCAAATTTCTAGATGGAACAGACTGAAAAACGATCAGGACAAGCCTGCCAGTCTCAGGAATCACTGATTCTGACATTAAGGTCTTCTCTATGTCAGTATCCTAAAGCGCTCAATCTGGTCCAACACATAATGAACTTCTCAGCTAACTCAGAAACAGTGCTAGAAAGTCACAAAAAAACCCAAAACCAAACCAAGTGACCAACCAAACCTCCAAAACATAACCTGACACTCTGGCCAGAATAGTGAAAAAAAAAAAAAAAAAATCATAATTTCTGTTACGACTAATCTTTAGAAGTGTGTCATTTCTGCACTTCCTGACTCCTGAATTTGACAGCTCATACTGTTTCAATGCAGACTTCATCCTTAACAGACATACAATCACTGATCTGCCACACTACTGTTCTAGAAAGGCAATATAAAAATTTAAATATGACTTGATAACTCGTAGTTAAAATCAACAGAGATTGAATTACTTGTAACAATAAACAGTATTTCTGGAGACTGTACCTTGATATTTTTATTAAAGTCTCCACCACAGAATGTCTGCAAGGGAACACTGAACTTTCTCCAGCATGGATTTAAGTTGTTCTTAATCACCTTAAAAAGAAAAAACAAACAAACAAACAGCATAATGTCACATGATGGATGCAGTGTGCAAGTCACTAAGAAACACAACATGAGGGTTCTGCACAGCCTCAGTCAGTTCAACCCTGACACATATGGACAGTCAAGCAAAAGCTCTTTAAGAAATAAAAGCAAGAAGCTCAGGGTAAAGTTAAACTCTAGAGCCAAGCTAATCTAACAGCTCATCACCACTGAAATGCAGGAGAGTCCTGCCACTATTCTCACTTGGTGCATGGTTGGACTCTTCATTGAGCCAGCTTAATCTAGTCACCAGGCAGGAAATAAATAATTTTCTGCCAGGTCAGCAAGCAGAATCCCATTTTTAGGAAACAAGACAACTTTCACTGCAGAACTGGTGCAAAGCATGTACAGGATTGGGACTGCCACTTTTGGTAGGAATAAGCAGTCTGATTAACTCAAGAAAAATGTCAGTGTAGGAATACTACCTCTGATCTGTACACCAGCTGCCATGTTCCAGCATCACTCTGCTTGTAAAACTCCAAAAACGGATCTGATTTACCTAAGAAATCCTGCAAACAAAAACCCAACATTAGTAATCAGCCTCCTGTATTTTACTCAGATGAGAGAAGAGCTGGCTCATTAGTACACAGTACCTCAAACAAAGCACAAAGTCTTTTTATATTTTTTTTTTTAAAAATTAGAAATCAATACCTTTTTGTCCAAGTTTTGTGCTTCAATTTCCAAGTACACAAGCCTGGTATCTTTAACCTCCTCTGCTGAAATCTGTGCCACAGAAATTTAGGGGGAAACAAAAAAAAATTAAACAAGAGACTCCACTAAGTTTTGCTCATACTTTTTCCATGAAGGAAACTGTTGTTACAGTTATCTATCTCTCCTGTCTATGTGTAGCATTTGAAAATATACCGACAGAAAATCAGACACGTTACTTTGTCCCAGACAACACAGGACAAAACGAGAAGCCATTTTTTCCACACAAAATGCTACTCACAGTAATGGTGCCCTTTCCTGCTGGCTTCCCCTGCTTCAGTTCCAGCGGCCGAGTGAACACCGCACTGGACACAACCTAAGGTTAAAACACAGGCAACATAAACACCAAGTTAGGCAAAGAATTACTCTTCAGGAGCAAAATTTTCAAACTCTCCTACAAGGATTTACATATATTTCCATCAGCAACAGCCAATCAGAGTCTACCCTCACGAATGGCTTAACAGTCCGAAAATTTTCTTCTCTCACTACCCACAAAAGAGCATCTGCTAATACATGTCCAAACTTAACTTTAGCCTGTTTTTGCTACCTGCAAGACACAAGAGGCATTTTCATCACAAGCAGGCAAAAAGCTATTAAGAATCCAAAAAGATAATTTAATTTACCAAGTCTTTCTTTAGTAACGTGAACTCCACTTTTCTTCTCCTTCCTAGCTACACAAAACCTTCTCAGGAAATGAATACAGACTCCCCAAACTTACTGCCCAATAATCACTTTTGTGCAAAGGAAACTCCATTGGAGCTTTCCAAGAACCATGCCTGCCTTACTCCCAGACTGCCTTTGGTGCTACAAGTGCTTCTAAAGTTAAGCAATTAACTGCCAATCGTGTCTCTTTCTAAACTTCGCTTTGTGATTGACACTATTTTTCCAACCGTGTTCAACAGTAACACAAACTAACCTGCTCAGCAAGATGCTTTCAAATTTGAACATGTTAAAGCCTTTGATAAAGTGGTCTTTTGCCCCATTTTTCATAATAAACCAAACATTTGCTGCTACCTTGTAGATAATTTCATGTGCCTCTGCGCATACCTGTCCCAGAGTGCACTCGATCCCTCCAAGGTAGTCATCGTCATTCAAATCAAAGGACTTGTTATCAATATCATACACGCCAAATTTCAGCTTCTGCACCTTCTCGAAGTAGTAATCTACAACCAGTTTCTTGCAGAATTCAGGGTTTTGGCAGTTCTTGATCTTCTCCGTGCGATCTAGCTGCACAAACACGGAAACAAAGCTGTTGATGATAAGTAACAAGCACGCTTTCTCTCGCACAGGTTTTCACCTGCACTCCAGGGACCTCTGTGCTGGTGGAACTCAGAAGGCACCAGCAGGGCAACATGGCCCAGGCCAGGCTCTGGGACAAGCCAGGCCACTGTCACCAGGCTGACCAATGGCTCACCAAAAAAGGAAATGGCATTGGATAATAAACATTACTGCACGGGAAAATTCTAAAAATTAAGGGAAAGAAGACTAGCAAAACACTGTGTTCTGATACTGCATGCTCTGGGGTAAAGAGGACAGGCCATACCCTAAGAGGCAAATGAACATCCCGATGCAACGCTAAGCAAACACACGAGCAGTTAACGAAACCCACAAACTTCAAACTCCAGAGCCTAGGAGTGGGCCTGGGGAACTGCTCACTGAACGCAACCCGAGACCGTGCCCCCGCCCCCCGAAGACCAGCGGGACGGGAACGCGAGAGACCCGGAGCGCCTGCGCCCTTACCTCGGCCCACTGCCCACCGCCCACCTCCTGCAGCAGCACGCAGAGGGGGTCCGACCTGGAGCCCACGTCCCGGTCGAGGAGGCTCCGGCAGGACACCGACAGCTCCACCCTGGTCACGCACCGGGCCATCTGCGAGCAGAGCAGAGCGTCAGACCCACCGGCC